TTGGTGTGAACAAGCCCTTAGACACTGAATTCCTTTTTTTTTCCTACCCTGTATTTTTTATATATTGTACAAAGTGCAAAAAAAAAAAAGTCAGAAATAAATTAAATGTTAAAGAAAAAAATATATAATAAAAGAAGAGGGCTTCACTAACCTGAACTCCCTGTGTCTCTATGCTGGTATCAGCCTCCTCCATGCCCTCCTCCGATGCCACCGATGACTGCTGCGGCGTCGCTGGCTGCCCTCCAGTCTCCACCACACGCCGGTCGGGCGCGCTCTCTCCGCTCTCTGCAGGAGAGGACATAGGAAGAGGCGGAAGTGGTTCCGCCAGCACTAGAGGGAGAAGCCACGCCAGCGGCCAGAGGACCCGTCACGCGGCTTCTCTCCTCTCTGACGGAGGGGGGTTGCGGTGCAGAGGCTGCGGCGGAATTGCCGCCTGGTGCAGGACAGATGCCTCGCCACGGGCCCCGTGCTGGTCGCGGGCCCTCGGGCAGCGCCCGACTGCCCGATGGGTCAGTCCGCCCCTGCGCTGGAACCAGTGGCGTAACCAGAGTTACAGGCGCCCGGGGCAGAACAAAATTTTGCGCCCCCCCCGGGTCTCCGTAAGCTGTCTCCTGCAAAGCCCCCCCACAGATCCTGCAGAGACCCCCACAGGCCCTGCAGTCTGCCGGATCTCAGGGGGGCTGTGCAGAATCTATGTTGGGCCCTGCCAGCACAGTCGTCCTCCTACCTGGAACTGGGAAAAAGGCCTCCTCTGCTGCCTCGGCAAATCAACGTCTCCTCCATATTCTGCCTTTCCCCGCCTCCTCAGCTACCGTCATCGGCCCTCCAGTCTCCTCCATCTTCACCTCTTCGATCTCCTGGGCGTCCGCCCCATCTCCTGTCTCCGCCCCCTGCCGCTCCGTCCCCGTCTCCTCCTGCTGCCGCTCTAGCATTGAGCTAGTGCGTCCGCCCCATCTCCTGTCTCCGCCCCCTGCCGCTCTGTCCCGGTTCCCGTCTACCACGATGGGCATTCAGCCAGTGGCGTAACAACCGGCGGGGGGTCGGCGGTACAGAGCTGGGCAGAGCAGAGTTGGGAGCGCTGCTTCGCCTGCGTCCCGGTACCATTTGATCCACGGACCGGTACCGGGCCGCGGCCCGGGGGTTGGGGACCACTGCCCTACGAGACGTGGACTTCCGTGCTTGTAATAAAGTAGGAATAATATTTTCTGATAAACCCTTTACGCTTAGGATATTGACTTCAACAGCCATGCCATCAAAGCCAGCGACTGAGAAGCAGGGTGGTAGACTAGACCCCGAAACAGAAGATCTGGCCAATTAGAGAGCCTTCTTGGATGTTCGACAGACAGATGTAGGATATATGTGAACCACACTCTCCTGGGCCAACTGCGACCCCCCTCCCCCCCCAGGATCACTGGAACCCCCTCTAGGGCTATCCTGTGAAGGAGACGTGGCAGAACCTTCAATAATGGTAAAACATAGATCAGGCTGAACTGATCCCACAAAGTTACCAGAGCATCCACTGCAAAGGCTTTTGATCGCTGTATCAGTAAACAAACCTGTCCAGCTTGTTGATGTATCTGGACACTAGAAGAGCTACGCCCAGTGTACCCCAGAGCCGACAAATCTGCTGTAACACCTTCGCATTTAAAGACCACACCTGATCTAGCTGCTGCCGACAGAGTCTGCCAGCCAAAATTCCACTCTTCGCCCCCTCCTCAGTTCATGTCTTCCAACCTGAATGTGTCACCACACTGATTAGCAGATATTTTGCAGGTCTTCCGGAGCAAGGGGTTATCGCTCTGGTACCTGAGGTAGAATCGTTCCACAGACTCTAATCCAAACTGTTCAATTCCCGAACCCAAAGGGGGCATCCGCCCCATCTTGGAGCGCAAAGCCCTAAATGTATTTTCAGGCCCATAAATACAACGTGGAAGACACGAGGTCTGTTATAGTCTCACTCAATCAGGGAGATTTTCTAGTCTCCGTAGACATCAAGGATGCCTACTTGCATGGCTGCCTTTTTTCAGCGCATCAGCAATTCTTTCACTTTGCTTTTGGCATGACCTTCAGGTTTAACAGACCGGGCTGGATTGTCTCCGGGTGCAGAGATACTCTTGCAGAAGCGGTGGATGTTCTGGTGGGGCAGTGGGATCAACACACCCTGATCCTATGCTTTTCCTCATCTGAAACTCCTTCCTCGTCCTTGAGTGCATTTTGTTGCTCTTGGCTGACCCCATCCTGATCAGACTACTGGCACATGTACATGTGTTCTCATCCAAATCTTTGGTTCCAAGGACCAATTTACTATCCTGCCTCTGTCGTTCTCCATGGGATGAATCTTGGCATTTCTGCAAATAGGCCTAGATCAGCACCTATACCTAAGTACCATAAAGGAACACTTTTATTACCTTGTTTCAATGACCGCTCGTTTCCCAATATTTAAAACTTATGTACAGGTTGTATCTCGTATGGCTACCCCTGTGTGCTCACCTTTTGACTCTGGGATCTAAATTTGGTACTTTTTGTGCTTCAAAAACCTGCCTTTGGAACCTATCGGGAATATCCCTATGACCACTCTCACTCACAAGGTTGTGTTTCTAGTTCCCATCACCTGCGAGGTGCGTGTCTGAGCTAGTGGCTTTGCCCGGTGAAGAACCTTTTCTGGTGTTACACAGGGTGTAAGGTGGTGTTGGGGATAGAGCCTACTTCCTCCCTAAGGTGGTTTTAGCCTTTCAATTCAACCAGGACATTGTTCTTGCATTCCTCTGTCTGGCTCCAGTTCATTAGAAGGAGATGCTACGTTGCTTGATTGTAGTTTGTGCTGTAAATGTCTACCTTGCAGTCACGACTTCCATTAGCAAGATTGACTCTCTCGATCATCCTTGATGGTCCTCATGAAGGGGAAAAGACTTCAGGTGGCATAGACAGATCATTATTCAAGGTCATGGTCTAAAGTATCAGGTTCCAACCTTTACTGTCAAGGCAGACTCTACTAGATCTGCAAGTGCTTCTTGGACTTTTCGGCATCGGGCTACTGTTTCTTTGATTTGCAAGACTGCCAACTAGTGTTTTTTTTGTTTTTGTTTTTTTCTACACATTCTCTACGTTTTACTGGGCAGATGTTCAGGTGTCATCTGATGCCAGCTTTGGGTGTAAGGTCTTTCAGAGGGCTTTTTGAGATGCAGGCAGTCCCCAGTTCTGCCCTTTTTCTTTTAGGCCTGATAGTGTTTTGTTGCTAATGCCCATTTCTCAGTTGGACTGCTTTTGGATGTCCCAACAGTCTTTTTTTAAATTCCTGTGTTCTTCAAAGTACAAAGAAAATGGAATTTTGAACGTACAATCCATTTCTTGGAGTTTGAAGTGCGCAGGTCCTACCCCTCTGTCAATGATCATGCTCTTGCCACTGAGCTGTGATTAGCATATTGGAGGTGACCGGTTCTTTTTAAGGTAACATTAGTGGTCTATAAGACCCTAGTGTCGCCTTTCTACGTCAATAGCTTTAGCTGGGTAATGGCAGCTGAATTTAAACACAGCAGGCAGTGACTGGGACCAATAGCCAGCCTGCTATTGGCTATTTCACCCACCCACTGCCTGCTGTCAATCAGCAGAGGAGGGACCTGAAGGACGATTGTTCTTCAGGTCCTCGTCTGGGCATGGGGGTGGTGTGCATGGGGGGCACAGCAGCTCACTGCAGTCTCTCCTCCCTGTTCGTAACCATTGACAGGAAGCACCCTGCGTTCCACACGGCGGATGGGCGACGGGCTGATGTTAAAACAGCTAACAGCCGCGACAGCGATGTGCACCTTTTACTAACATTCTGGCATCATGTAAGTGTTTTTTGGATTTTTTTTTTATTTTGTGTATGGCGGGAGAATGTAGCCACAGGCGTGGGAAGGAACAGGAGGTTCCCTTATTTCACATGTATTTGTGTGTATTTAAATGGTGATTGTTGATGCAATGTTCTGCCACTCTGAGCCTGATGAAGGGGACCCTGCGAGGCCCCAAAAGCGCTTGCATTGATGACGTTCTGAGTCATTAAATGGACTGATTTTCACCTTATATTGGAGTGCTAGTAATAAAATGTATTTACTTTGCACAGATTGAAGGCACCCCCGTTTCAAGCAAAGCAGCTCGGAAAACCTAACCAAGCCTTCTCCATGTTTCATAGAGCTGATGTGACTTGTTAAAGAGCTCCAGTTTTGTCTCCGCTGTCCAAAGGACATTCTCTCAGAAGCATTGTACCTTGTCGGTATGCATTTTAGTAAATTCCAGAATGGAAGTCTTCCTTTGAGTCCACCGTCTCTCAAAAAGTGACCGATAGTGCGATCAGCCACTAATCTATCTTGACCTTGGAGTTAGCTTGTATGTCTTGGGAAGTTTTCCTTGCATCTTTGGTTTATCATGTGCACTATCCTTATTATTCTACTGGATGCAGAGAGGGAATGCTGCTGGAGAGAGGGAACACAGTCACCTTTTAGGTCTGGGTTTATGGAGAAGAGGTGAAGAAGAACAACTTAAGTTATTTACCTACTGGTGAGTTAAGTGCAGAAAGTGCCAGAGTTAACATTCAGTGGCTATTCAGTATACGTGCAATGTCCCTTGAGTAATCCCAGAAGCCAGATTTTCATGTTCTATCTTGGTGAAGGGTTCTATAGTCCTCGATTTTGTGTTGGTTGCTTTTAAATATTTGTAGAGCATTACAGGAAGGTCAGACATCCAGAAAATCTGGGTACATACGAATGCATTACCTTTTATTTATTTATGTTTTTACTGGAAAACTGTGCCGCACAAACTAGCCTATCGTTTTGTTTCCATAGACAATCTGCAGCGTTCAGTCTTTGTCAGAATTAATGAGCCAGGCATAGCCTGTAGCAATCAAAGTAATTTACCATTGCCATTAAAATATAATTTTGTCCTAAATTAGCTCTTTAATTTGGGATAATTTCTATTGCTTGCCCATAATATTGCCATTGTTCTTTTTTGCTTGTTATACCGATAGATATATCATCTAAGAACATATTAAAGACATTAATACACAGTGTGTGGTGTTTTAATAAAAACTGTATGCGGGAAATGAGTTGGAAGCGAATTAAATGGATAAGATGGCACAGATCTTCCTATGTAACAACATGGCCCTCACCCCTCCTTCCTGTTCTCTTTCAGTTGCAGTTTTCTGAAGTGCTTATAAAATGGCGGCGATTCTTCCACCAGCTGGCAGCGGATCAGGGCAAAGCCGGGTTAGCTGCTGTCGAAATTGAACTGGAAGTGGAAAAGTTACAAGTAAGAGATCACCCATCATCCAAGTATTAAATAGCTTATATCCACGGTTGTGAAAAGAAACCATTTTAGCGGAAGCAAAAAAAAAAAACACTTGAAAAGGAGATGTATTGTGTGTACCATTTTTCAGTCGTTATTGTCTACAGGATAATTTTTCTTGCAGTGTCTATAAAATAATCACTTTTTATAGGTCTTTTGAATAGCTCACAGTCGGCTTAGTCAGGATTTCCTGCTAGGCATGTATGTTTCAGGAAAGACAAGCCATGTCATTTGTGTCAACTGTTAATTCTGTTTTACATGGCTTTTTGTGTCTTTTGGCTTCCAAGGTAATTATAGATAAGAGATCAGTTCAGACTGCAGATACACATAGGAACAGTAGAGTAGGCCTGGGAGAAAGCAATGTATATAAATGTTTAATAAGGTGAAACTAAGACCGAGCCTTTTAATAGAGTTTAAATCCTTCCTGGACAGTTAATTATGCAGATCAGTTTGCTATCTCTGTTCCTACAATCCTATTGTATTTAAATACGTGACTGTAAAGGTATCGGGAAAGATACACCTTGAATTAGAAGCAAAGTTTCTTTGCTTACTGTAAAAAACATTGACATTGGTTTAACTTTTTGGTAACATTTCTGTTACACTGCTTTTTTTTCTGCTTTGTTCTTTAGGAAGAAAGACGTGTGTGTGTGTGTGTGTGTGTGTGTGTGTGTGTTATACATAAACTGAGGCAGTAAGATTCAGGGGTGTGGAAATTTAAAATAAACTACTTGTCCAAGGACTAAAGCGGGGGGGCGATCTACTTGTCCCTCATGGAAATCTACTTGTCCTGATACAAAAAAAGAAAAAAAAATGTAACCAAAACCTTATTTAGCAGTGCGAAGAAGAGCTTCTCATTGGTCAGTGCTGTCAGGTGACTGCGCTGACCAACGAGTGTTTGCATTTTGCGAGTGAAATTCAGAATACATGGCACAGGTAGACAGTACACCCATACTGGCGGATGGGAAGGATCGTTTGCTGAAAGGTAAGTATAGTGGGAGGGAGATTTGTGCAGGTAATTCCATTTTCCCAAATTACTTGGGAAAGTGAATTTACCCTTTTGGAGCGGGTGCAGACTTGGGCGACTGTGTGCGTTTGCCACGCGGCCCCATTGATTTCAATGGGGTTACATCCGCGTGGTAATCGCTGAAAAAGGTACATGTGTCGTGTTTTCAACCGCGATTATGTATGATTGCACGGCGTTATTGCGGCGGCAAACTGCGCAATCTGCCTGGCATGCCTAGGGTGCCATTAGACAATAATGGCACTGCCAGCACGATCGGTAGTGGTGTGCATTTCTGTGATCTCCCGGCCATCCACGCGGTTTTGTGCACGATTGCCGTGCGGTAACGGATCGCCCACTCCGCGCACACAGATGATAGGGGTTGGTTTTAATTGTAGATTTTTTTTGCTTTGTAATATTTTTTATTTTTATTATTTCTTAAATTTTTATGTATTTCCATTTTTAATATATATATTTTATTTTTTACTTTTTTTCTTTTCACTTGACTTTATTGCTATCACACAAGGGGTAACAATTCTGTGCTGGTTCTCCTATGACAGGAAGGCTGCATTCCCCTGTCACTATTCACACGGAGCCGAGTAGAGAAGCGTTCTCTGCCCTGCTCCATGCTCTCTAACCTAATTTGCCGTAGCCACTGATCCCCCACAAGAGGGGGGGACCCTGAAGACCACAGCAAAAGAAGCACGGAGAGAGAGGCAGCCGAGACAGGTACACGGCCGGCTGCCGGAGAGAGAGAGAAAGGGAAGAGGGTAGGGGGAGTGAGATTCAGGCAAGTTACAATTGGTTTTGGACGGCTGTACAGCCGTTCAAAATCACTTGTACTAAACGGCTCCCACACTACATTTAGCTGTGCTGCTGGCCCGCAGCCGGCTAAATGTAGAAAAAAACTGCTCGCCCGGTGCCCGAAAACTGCCTGTCCCGGGCGATAGGAATTCCACACCCCTGAGATTGTTGTGGGATATCGCTACTTTAGAATACAGCTGACTGGTGTTAACCTGAATTTTAGTGAGAGGTCTATTGGGTTAAACAGAAAAAGGAGATGCTAAAATAACACCTTCAACAGTTAAATGCTAATTTCATTCTAAAATTTTACAATTCGACACCTAAACAATATGTGTGTCATTTAGGGAAAATTATCATTAAATAAAATACCGGATGTTGATGATAATGTTGAGCTCTGGGAACATTCAGAAACCTATATTCCGATGCTTAACCATCTGGTGTGGTTCTAAATGCTTCTAAATACCTTTTAACAGAGTTAAAGTATAGGTGATGTGACGCAGGATGAGCTGAAGACATTGCTTCAATGTACCCCAGCTACAGTGAGTGTGGTGGTGGGGGATGAGGATGGAAGGGGGGCTTGTCTAGCAGCCCACAGACTAGGTACAAAGTTGTCAATGCTTGTCTGTTGAGCAGGATGTACTGCAGTAGATATCCAGTCTACTGGTCAACAAAGACTGATTTTGCAGAGAAGGGGAGAAAAAAAAAGTGTTTTTTAAGATGACAAAATAATACATAGAAGGCAGTGCTGTATACATGAACTAAATTGCTGCTGTGCCCTTAACTCTGCTTTAAAATAATGTAATCCGCTTGTTTTTTTTTTTTTGGGGGGGGGGGGGTTCCGAACATACTTCTTTTATTTGCATTCATTTTCCCCTGAAACCCTTTTGCTTATTTAAAACTGCCCTGTGTTCCTTTTCAGGAAAGTTTGGCCAAACTAGGAATTGCTACAAAAGATGAAAGTCATAACTGGTTCACGGGCGAAGATCTCGGACTATCAGGGTATGCTTTACTGAAAATTTTGTGATTTCAGTAGCCTCAAAATACACATTTGTGCCTATTTACTAAAGTATCTAAACCCATAATATATTGCTATTGACCAGTCCTGAAAGTGGTGGATGCATTAGTTCTTTTTTTCTTTCTTTGGCTTTTATTTTCACCTAGTGACATGACCTACAACACACGTCCTGTCTTTAGTTGGCTCCACTTTATGCAGGATCATGAGGCCATCCTTGGGTAGCAGCATTGTCACCCTGTGGAAACGGTAGTGTTAGATGCACTAGCAATTTTAGATGGACTTGACTAAAACATTAATTTAAATCCAGCAAACACTTTTTTAAGCAGTTGCAGCAACAGGTGTTTTTTTTTTTTTTTTTGCAATAACTTAAAGTGGACCTTTTCCCCCTTTCACTAAAAATCACATCAGCATGCAGCTCTGCATGCCAATTTAAAATCATATTACATTCTCTAGTTAAACATGTTTTTCATTTACTTCCAAATAGTTCATCCACTTCCTGGTCCACTTTGGCACATATTATATAATCTGTGCCCCAGCGATGCATCCAGGGAAGATTACCTCAGCAGAGCATTACTGGGAAATCTCATCTGTAATCTCAGGAAAAGGCATTTTCCTCTCCTGAGATTATGTGTATGGTCACATGTGCCAGAGTTCCAGGCAGTAAAGGGAGATGGATTAATCTGCCCTTAGTAAAAATGGTAATTGTGAGAAGAATGGGGAAGAAAACAGAAATAAGGTATGCAAAGAATAAAAAGCTGGCAGTTTTCTAGAAGCGCGTGTTTGCACATTGTCATTACTAAACATTTCTAAAGGTTCCTTTGTTACGCCACTGCCATTATCTTTAAAATAACAACAATCGCCATAGCGACCCAGGCAGCCGCTATGGGGCACATGGGCACAGGGGGGCCCAGCCAGATGCCGAGCGAACCGCCTGGGTCGCTATGGCATCCTCTGCTGGTGGCTTTCACTGGCGGCTCTGAAGAACAATGCGCTGCTGTTCAAATCACTGACCGTAATCTGTGCAGCAGCCCGTTCATCTCCAGAGCCGCTGCTGAGTCAATGTGTAGTATCTGTTCTTATCAGTTGCCGGTGGAAGAACGACACCACTCCTTCTCGAGGTGATTAGGATGGTGGCTTAGTATTTACCGGCGTAATTGGTGGGTGTCAAATGGGGTACAGTCCCTCCTGGTTAGATTCTGGCCCAGTGATGCTGGGCTTGTCACCGGTGGTAGGGATGGACCCCTGACGGCACTACCTTCTGATGGGAATGGATGCGAAGCTTGGTCGAGGCTGGAGGGTTGGGAGGCGGCAGAAGCCCGTGGTGTTGTGCCCCCTGGGGGTGGCGCCCCAGGGGTGCTCAGGAAGTCACTTGGGTGTGGGAGACCCACATTGACTCACTGATCACTTGGTCACACACCACATTGCAATTTTCTGCACAACGCCTCTTGGACAGGCCTTATGGCTAGTCCGGGGCAATTTTTTTGCACTCGGCCCCTAAGGCCTGTCAGCGTGGTGCACTGGCACTTTAGTATTATTTATGCACGATTTGCACGATTGGCTTTTTTTAAAAGCTTTTTGACCCACAGATGCTGAAGGTGCAGGTTTCTTCGGGGCCTATTCCTGATGCTGGGAGGAGATTCTGTGCCTCGAACGGGGTTCTCTGTCTCCTCCCACCCAGGAGGGGGGTTTCTCTTCGGGAGATCCTCCCTGCCAAGTACTGTGAGGGACCTGTTTCGCAGGTCCCCGAAGGAAATGGTCCACCAGTCTTCGGGTTGGTGGGCCAACAGTCTCAACCCCTGTCAGGAGCCTTGCACCCCGGGGGGGTCGGGAAGTAGGTCCCTTCTTCGGAAGGACCTTGCACCCTTGTGCACGTTTTTGTGTGCTGTGATTTCACGGTTGCACTTTTTTTGTTCACAGGGGGAAGTTTATTTTGATGCACGTCCACGGGCTTCGAAAAAAAAAAAAAACACCATCTATGGCTTTTAGTGAGCTTTGCACAATCATTAATTCATTAAATATGCTAGAATGCGATATATTTAGAGTATGCTATACAAATCCCCTACATTTATCACAGATTGTGTACATAAAAATACTGACTTACGACTAAAATATGTGTTTGCATGTTTGTTTTTGGGTTTTTTTCTTTTATATTGAGTGAACCTCACCTTACCTACTGAAGTTGTTCTAGCTTAATTGAGCATGCACCTGTGAATTACTGCTCTGTGGTCCTTACACCAACTTATTCTTTAGGTCTATGTAGGTCTAAGGAAATGTAGAGGAATAGCAAATTTTGCATGATTATAACATATTCCCCATCAACCAAGACACTGCCCCAGGTTTTGCTTCCCCACTTAGTAAAGCCTCCACTTTCTCTGTGTGCAGATTGCCCACTTTCTTGCAAAACAAGGACCACTAACCATTTTTTCCACATTCTTTTTTTTTTTTATAGATAATTTTTATTGATTTTTGCAAGTGTCCGAGACACACAATGATAACAACAACACAATCACAAACAACAATTGGGTCAACATAACCCAGGCATTTACACATCAGTACACTCACTATGTTTGTCATGAGGTTACACAAGTTACACAAGCTGTGGATGCAATACACCAGGTTCAAGACATGGTGATAAAGCTCTAAGATGGGTATCACAGAACATTGAGAAACCAACTCAACCACATATATCAGCCGACCCAAGAGTATCGCCTAGGACCCATAGGTCCAGGACTGGGGAACTCAGGGCCAAAAGTTAGTATTACTACCCCGTTTCCAAATTTGTGTTTGAGGAGGCCAGCCATGGGTCCCATATGCGGCCAAAGCGTGTCGGGTTACCTCTCTGCTCGTATGTTAGTTTATAAATGGGGAGTGCTTGATTGATCAGTCTTTTCCATTCGCCCAGGGTGGGGGCCGTCTGGCTACCCCAGACCAGGAGAATGGTTTTCCTGGCATAAAATAACAGGAGGCGGATAAGTGTCTGCGGATCAGTGCTAGCTCCCCAAAGATACCCAGGAGGCAGAATGAGGGGTTGCAAATGTTGGGGAAGCCGAGGCTGACCTCCATGAAGGAAGTGATTTCCGACCAAAAGGCTCTTATGACGGGGCATTCCCAGAAACAGTGCAAGAAGTCGGCCTCTCGCCCGTGGCGCTTAAAACAACGCGAAGTCGGGCGTAGGCCGAGTCTATGCATCCGGGCGGGAGTGTAGTAGACCTGGTAGAAGAACTTCATAGAGGATTGAGGAGTCCCCGTCCTCATCGTGGTGCCCGAGGAGGTGCGGAGGGCCGCATGTCCGGCGCCATCTTGCCGCTGGAACCGGGCCAATTTTTCGGCCGCTGAGACGTCCCTTTGGTCCCCGATTTTCCCCATCGCAGCTGCCAGGAGGATCCTGAGGGAGAGCGGAAGGAGCCCGGGTGCCGACCGAGTCGCTGGAACCGTCAGGATAGGGTAAGGATGAGAGTGGGACCGAAGCTGCTGCGATCAGCGTCCGTCCATGCACGCCGCTTGGCCACGCCCCCTCAACTTTTCCACATTCTTAAAGTATATTTAACCGTCCTAAATTCTGCCGCCCCACCCCACCACCACCCCCAGGACACGGGCTATACCTTGCCCGTAGCCTGGAAGAGCGAGGGGAAATGCAGCGTAGAATATTAGAAGCATCATCAATGGAAATACTAGATTAAAATCAAGTTGAACGGTGGGTCAAATTCGGTGGAGATATCGATGGGACCCAAACTACGTCGGCATCAGTTCTATAGCTGGAACAGAGTCCTGGCAATCCGGCAACAATGGTTTACAAACTGACAGAGTATCACAAAATTGCCCCAGGTCTTCTAGGAACCTAAGAACTGCTGTTTTCCCGTTTTTTCCTAGCTGTCAAACAAAAGGGGAAGCCCCATCTGTAGTTGATGCCCGCTCTCTGTAGTACTTCCAGGAGCGGGTGCAGTGCCCTGCGCCGCACCAGAGTCTCTCTACCAAGGTCTGGGTAAATATGAATGTATTCCATTAAAGTCCGTTTGGGGATGTTCTCGCAATCACCACAGCATGGCCTCCTTATCCGAAAAATAGTGCAAGCGACAGATGACGTCCCTGTGTATATCTGAAGCCATATTACGGGGGTGTAATGCCCGGTGAACCCGGTCAAACAGGGCAAACGGTCAGTTCTCTTCCTAGCATCGTATTAAAGAGTCTCCGCCAGGTCCAAGTCTGCCGTGGCTTCCGGCAGGCTACGGATATGCAGGTTATTCCTGCGTCCTCTATTCTCTAAGTCCTCTAAAGGTGAGACACAGTTCTCTGGGAGCAGGCTAAAGAGTATACCTGCGTTTGCAGAGCCGATATTACCTTGACATGAGAGTCCAGACGGTTTTCCCCCTCCTCCACATGTTGGAGCAAGTGTGTTACTTCCCCCCTGAGGGACAGAATGTCCGACTTCAGGGATTGCTCAAGGCGGGTAAGCATAGTAGTGAGTTCCTCCTTGGTCGGGAGAGCCCTCATTAGCTCGTCTATGGAGGGTGATGGCGAGCTCTGCTCCCGCTAGTCCCCTGTTTCAGATCTGTAAGGAGGTGAGTCTGCAGCCCGGTCACGTGAGGACGGGGTCAAGCCGAGCAGGGGAACTCCGCGGTTGGTTCCGGGAGTCCGCCTCTAGGTAGTGCTTAATCGTCCCCGGCTTTGGGGTTTTCGTAGATCCGGAACTCTTCCCCCATCGTGATCCACGGCAGCCGTCGTTATAGTAGGTGGTAGATAGTCGGGAAGTCTATTATTCAGGGAAAGGCTCACGGAGCCCACACCAAGCACGTCTAGCCGCCATTGAGTCCAGGCCACTCCCCCCCTCCCCCAGCGCTGAGATATTTTGATTGATTTTTTTTTTTTTTTTTAGTCCTGCAATGCCTTACTGAATTTAATTTTATATAATTTCTTTGGAACAGATATAGCTTTGTTTTGGTGGTATTTAATCACCACTGAGGTTTTTTATTTTTTACTATATAAA